CTTATTATTCTTAGGTACTTGAGGATATGTAACAGGTTCCTCGTCTGATTCTTATCATTAAGTTTGTTAGATCATCAAAACATCGTAAGGATGCATATAACCTATCATATATATCTCATGACAAGTTCAATATTCAATTGTTTTTTTAATTTGTTGTCCGAACCTAATCCCTTTCATTCTTACGTACGAGTTACCTACACGCTAGAGAATACCGAATGGAATATTCAAAATAATAAAAATATTTAAATAGGGAAAGGGAAAGGGAAAGAATATTAAAGAGTTTCACACACTTGACTTTAATTATATCCAAGAGATTCAATCTAATGTTCCCCATTTGACTGGACCCTGCAGTTTATCCATTACTGTTCAATTATTTAATAAATTAAAAAAGATAAGAACAATTATTTAATCGAATGCTGTTTACTAATTATATAATATTCTTATTTTTTTGGTTTCCTTTAAAATTGGATTCTTGACATTGACATGCTATCGGATAGTTGGTGATAATTATGATGTAATCATATGCATATGATTGTTTGTCGATGTTATTGTAATCAGTTTTCCATTTAATAATGAAGAGAAATTCTACAAAACACTATTAAAAGAAATTTCGGAAAACTAAAATACACTACAAAAATGACCAAAAAGAAACTTTCTAAATTACTTATCGGGGTTGAATGTAAACACAATAATCCTGGAGTTACAATCAACTCTTAATATCCAACCTATCAAAAATTATGTAGGATGAGTTTGGATAAACAACCCGAAAAACTCAGAACTTGATTAGGTACATTACTTGTATTAGTAGTATGATGTGATTTAAATATTTAAAATTCTATGAATTGATTAAGGTGGATTAATTTAGGTCATATCCAAATCTTATCTTGTCGTGTTTCCATAAACGAATGCTCTAAATCCTATTGATTGGAATTGAAAGCGGGAGAAAGGAGATGTAAAAACTTATCCGCAATTGGTGTTTACGTCAAGCAAATAAATGCATTATATTTGCCCTACATTAAAGTTATTTATCATTTAACCATGGTTAAGTGATATACATCTACATTTTAATTTGTAACTCTCATAATTAAACTGCTTGATTTTATGTAAACATCGGACACATGTAAGTATTGACCATGTCCTATATGTGATGCAAGTTGTATGAAGAACTTTTGAAATTTTAATTCCAAAATAAACCAATAAAAGAAGAAAAACACAATTAAAAAAATGGGATTAACATGGGAATATAATTAGAGTTGTAGTTTAACAACTTTATTTATACTCCTTGTCCATATTATCTATCTTAAGGTTTCCGTCGATACTTCAAAACGCCATTTAATAAATTTAATCATGAATTTTTTTGTTTAAACTGCATTTTATATCTTCGAAAATTATCTTATTTAGACAAATACTCTACTATTCGAGCAGAAAGGATAAATCTGAAGGAAAAATATAACAAATACTAATACCATATTTTTTTAGAAACGTCTAATATTTTTCATCTAAATGTAGGTTTCAGTAACAATTGAGGCCGTGCGCAGCTGGTGCAGGTGAGTTCTAGGAAGGTTTGAGCCCAAATGCCACGTGAAATTATTAAGGAAGGGTTGGTCAATACAAGTAGTTAGGTAACTGTCCTAAATTTTGGCTGCTTCCTTTTGTTGAATATTTTGGAATTAGTAGGCATTCAAAAAAACACTACTCCCCCGGACAGTGTCCATTTATATAATTAAAAAATAATAATTTATTTTTTAAAATTACCCTTATGTACGTATTCCTAAAAAAAAAATTACTCCGCATATTAAATTATACTGTAACATTTAATTAAGGGTAGTTTAGTCACACTAACTAAAACTTATTAAATATCTAGCTCTTTTCTCTGTCTGGAACCTAAAACTTTTATATATTTCATAAAATATGTACCTTAATTGAGAAACTTCTTAATTGTTAATTGACGGTTAGTTGTTACTCAACTAAGTTCTTAAACTTTTACTAGAAAAAGCAAATTAAATAGAAACAATTACTGTCGATTGGGAGCAAAAATGGTGGATCTATGAATTGAAATACGTCCAAGCACTGTGCCAAAGCTTAGGCTGAATTGTTTGGACTTTTTGACCAATATTATGAATATATCAGTCTTTTTTCCCCCAATTGTTTGTGTCACTATGTTGTGGTACAGCCTCAAGCAACTTGTACCTTATAATTATTTTTCGGACCTTCATATGACTAGTTACAATTTGAATAGAAGAAAATGATTATACAAAGATTTCCTACGTTTTATTTACATATATCTTGTATTATTCTTTTATCGATAACCTATGAAAAAAGGTCATATAACCTAAAAACTATTGTAATTAACCATAAAAGTGATCTTCCTGTCTTAGTTTGTTTTCTTCATTATATTAATTTCTTATTTTCTTGGTGTTGGAGGTGTTGGGAGGATTTTGAGAAGTAACAGCTCGTTTGGTACGTCGGATAAAGTGGGATAATATGTGGGATTAAATTTATACTGTATTTGGTTGACGGTATAAATATATCTTGGGATAAATTTATACCGTCAACTAAGCATATATAAATTTAATCTCAGACTTAACTCTGAATATTCCATCTTATTCTATCAAACTTGGGATTATTTTATCCCACCTCCAAGGTGAGATAAATAAGTCCAGAGATTATAATCTCATGACTATAATTCCGGAATAATTTAGGTCATATATCAAATGACACCTTAGAGTTTGTGCAATTACTGGAAGAAAATAGTGAAGTGGCCCCTCAAATTTAGACCTTTTGTCATTTAGGCTTTCTAAAATGTTGTGAGTTGCTCTCTCTGTCTCTGATTTTGAAAAATCATGTGTCCATTTGTAATAGAAGATAAAATTATTGGTTGGCATTAATTATCCTAACCTGGCCTCATCTTCATTTTGACCTCTATTATTGGCATTTGCCTTGCGGCTGTCTTCTGGCAATTTGCAAGGATTACTATCTTAAAGAGGACATAAAGTATTCAAAAATTGCAGTGTCTCCCCCTTTCTCATGTTGATATTAGAATGAATTTAAGTTATATATACAAATAGTGTAAAGATTTTTTTTACTATTAAAATTTTTTAACATGTCATAGTAAGTTAGTTACTATTTTTATCAAGTTACCAATTTATACTTACCATGAAGATCTCGATAATTACCTTGTATATTTTTCACCGTTAGCGCAAACAACTTAAACTCTAGAGTGTAATACTTGTATATATTCCCCGTTTGTCCATAGATATTTTTTTCTTTTTTTCAATTTATTTTTTTAAAAACGTGTTTGTCCATTAAATTTTGCAAGTTATTGAAATTTTTTCCAAAATGATTTTCAAGACCACTTTTTCAAAATTTTCAGAAATTTTTATTCCCCACTCACAAACCTGCAACTTTTTTTTCAAGTGTAATGCATGTCCAAATATAATTGCAAATTCCAAATACCATTTTTTAGCTTAACTCCAAATATTACTTTTTTCATAAAAATTATAATTTTTATGTCCAAACGCCTACATAGTCTCTTTGTAGTCAAACACGTTATTTAAGTACATTGCCGGTTGCTTTAGGCCACCTATTTTTTGGGGCCCCAAATTTTTCTAGTAAATGTGTATGTTATTTTATTTTTAAAAAAATATTTATTGTTTTAAATGTAAAAGTACAATTTTCATCGTAAAAATGGAAAGATTGAATAAACTGAGAAAAGGAATAGTCTTTTTGGGAGTCATTCTCTAGACCATAAATTGAAAAAGAATTCGACAATTCATAAATTGAAACTTCAATCACAAAAGGAGCCCTTGATAGATTTTTAACAAACAATAAATTAAAAAGTATATCACAAGAAAGATTAAATGAATAAGATATATTAGAAATTAATATAAGAAATTGATTATAAAAAATTATTAATAACTTTGCATATAAAAAAGTTAAAAACTGGACTTCAAATGGGGTTCTTTTTTTTATATTTGTTTTTAACAGAAAGTTTAAGACCTCTCATTGAAGTTTTGCTTTAAGCCGTCATGTTTATTGAGCCGACCCCGTTTAAGTACTTTCTTATTACAAGCCATTAAGTAGAGAGAGAATAATTATTTAGTTTTTACTATTTCTCCCAGTGACGTGATTAGCGTAATTGAAGTTTGAAAATGTTGACTATTCAGAAGACAAAGCATGTTAATAAATCTCTTTCAACCAAATGTAAACATCATATTGGCATGTTGGTGGACTTAAATAATGCCGAAATGCATTGTATATATAGCAGCTATTTTGTATTCTGGCTATCTTTTTTAAGTGGTCCTAAAGAAATTCAACATGGGACGATAATATTTCATAATGTGCCAAATTTACTAGGAAAAAACAAAATGAATGCCTCCCCTATCACCACTTGCATGATGTTTATCTCTTAGCTAAGAAAATGATAGCTCACTCCTTTTCATCTAACCTAATTGGTTAGGGCCATAGTAAACAATTTCAATCACCGTTTCCTTTTGTTATTATTTTAGCGTCTTTTATATTTATTTTAGTTAAAGTTTAACTTAGATATTAATTTTAAAAGCGAATAAATATTTGTTACAAGGAAAAAGATTTAAGAAATTAAGAATATAAACAACAACAACAACAACCAAGTTCAATTCCACAAGTGGAGTATGAAGATAGTAGTGTACACACAGCCTTATCCCTACCTTGTGAAGGTTAAGAACATGTTTCCGATATACCCCGACTCAAGCAAAGCACAATCATAGCAGTTGTAAGTGAAATAAACATGAAAGAGAAGCAGTATCAACATCAAAAATTAAGAATATAAAAAAGAATAAATTATCATAGTTAAGTGTTGTGGAGAGATTGAAGTTGGATTTCATATTGATGGGCTTACTTGTAAGATCACACTGCAACTTTCAGTTTAGACTTCTCATGAGAGACCAGTTAGGAATGAAGGCAAGTGTTAAGGCTCTATTATTAGTATTTGGGTACTTAGTTCGCCTATTATGAAAAGATAAGTGTTAAGGCTCTGACCAATACAAGCTCAGCTTCATCTACCCAAAAAGTCAGATGAATGCAAAGCAGCTTGGACTACTTTAATAAGAATAACAAATATGAGAATAATACATGTTATGAATGAAGGAAATAGGAACAACTAGTTCTTAGACAAACCGCATATGGGGCTAAGCCATTGTACAAGGACCAACAATGGTGGAACAATGTATGCCATGGATATGCACACAATTGGCCGCAGCACTGCAAAATTGATGAAAGTAGTTAACAATGAATGAGAGGAAAAGGGAGGGTAAATAGCTTCACTACAAAGGTAATGGTGTGTGCAATGATAATATGTTGAAGCATTGGTCTTCTTGGTATCTTTGGATTTGTGAAGATGCTTTCTGCTTTGAGTGGCTTCTGATACACGACTTGCTGATGTACTTCTCTGGCCACTGTGCTTGACGCACAGCTCTTAATCTTCCATTTTTGCTAACAGCATAAGGGAAGCTAATTGAGCCTGGAGTTTCTTGCTCCTTCGGAAATTCATGAATACTAGATGGAGTGAACAATGGAGACGGCTTTGGCCTCAACTTTCCCTCCCTCCAAGCCGTAAATGTATGCAGTAAATTAGATGGCACCTGCAGGCCAAAAGAAAATTCCATAAGTTTGTAATGAATATAATGTTGACCCCAACTTGCTTGGGATTGAGGCGTATTGTTATTGCAATGAAGATAATGCATTCAGTAAAGATGAATACTGTCTACTATTCCTTATAGCAGCTAACCTTCTGCAGACATCATTAGTCAAATTCTTTAATATCCATTACTCAAACATCTCAAATAACAATATGTTCACATAGTCAATCTCTAGTAGTTTGATATAAGCTATTAATTAGTTCTGAGATATGTTTGAGTGATGCTGAATGATCATTTCATTGTGTTAACCAAAGGTGAATGTTCACTTTAAGTAATCCTCTTTAGATTCATTTCATGAAACTATAACTATATGTTTCACTGAAACTTCAAGTGCTTTCAAACTTACAGTGGAAACCAGGCTACAGGCGGCAAAGGACAAAGAAGATGCTCCAAATGGAGCCTTTCCGGTTTTGCTATCCTTCTTGTCACTTTTAGCTGCGCTTTGATTGTCAACAGACCCGAAACTTGATGCAGTAACCTCCTCTTCGTCGTCCTCCTCCTCTTCTTCCTCCTCATCTTCCTTCTTTTCCGCCCACGTTTTCTCAACGTTATCTGTTGGTTCAGAAGGCACTATATCATCCTCTTCTTGGATTCCCATTTCAACTTTCTTTTCCTCCTCTTCTTGCATTCTCTTTAATTCGTCATCCATGTCTTCCATTGCCTCCTTCAGAGACAATTCTGCTTCTGCTAATTCAAACTCTTTCTTCAAGAGCTCTATCTTCATCTCACCTGCTTTCTTTTTCTCTTCAGCCCATTTCTCCAGCTTCTCAAACATTGGTTTGCATGCATTTTCCATAGAGGTAACAAACCGCTTCCACATGTTATCTGATTGGACAGCCCCACCTCGCCCATAAAACTCGTCAAATCCGAGGGGAAGGAATTCAACCTTATCAGGATCAACATCTTCACCCTCTTTTACAAGAGGTTGCCAAAACAATCGTACCCCATGTTCCTCGTCTTCCACATAGTTGATAATCCTTCCAGTTGGAGTGTGCAGGATGACCGGATCTTCGGTATATACAAGTTTAGAAGGATCTTCAGGATCAGGCTCCGGTTCCTTGTTAAGTAGAATAAATTCTGGCTTTTGATCTAAGAAAAAGGAAACAAAAGTAAGTCTACATAAAGAGGCTTATCAGAAGAGATATTAGACATCAGGTCAATTGGAACAATATGAACAGAAATATATTTACATTACAGGAGAAGTACTAAGGGCAATATCTACTTTATCATACTCAAGTATCCATAGCAGCTGGGAAGTTGATCGACTAAAAATCAAGTTTGAAATAATGTATTTTTCGGGGAAGTGGCTGGGTGTTTTTTTTTTTGGATTGGTAGGAAGTGGTCAAGTGTTCTGGTGATAGGGAATAAGAAAATATATATATATATATATTTTAAAGTAATATGAATGTAGATTTAATAAGAGTCTTATAGAACACCAGATAAACAATATACTACTACTTTAAATTTGACTCTCTTAGTGAAACAATTCTTTCTGCCCAAGGTAAAGCACCTGTTTCAAATATAGAAAACCAAACACTTCTATTTGAGCTAAATTCTTCCCAATAGAATCTTCTTTCAAGCATTCTCACGCAGCCTTTGTGCATTGTGAAGGACAGGTTTTTCTTTTAACATGCTTAAAGAAATTTTGACACGCTAAAATACCAAAAGGTAGAAAGCCTTCAATGAATTAAAATCCAACACGACTGTCCACATATGTTTCTCAATGATGCTGATAGCACAAGTTGAATACTACGACAAAGCTCAGGGGGGTTGTGCACAATCAAAACTGTTGATAGAAAGAAGTCAAGACTTTCATCCCTCTCTCCCTCCCTCTCTTACACACATAATATGAACATACAGTGCGACAACATTCTTTCTATGACCATCCCTAATAGATGATAATATAAAACAAATAGAAAATCCTACCTTTAGACCACCAATATTCAAGCTCTGCAGGCATAGGTAATCGCAGAGGAGCTTTGTAAAATGAGTTCAACCACATTTCTCTCTCTTCATCCACATCATGCACATATGCTTTCCAATAATCAGGAACCTGCGTAACAAATGAATCAGTTCTAACTTCCCCAACGTTTTATAACAGCAAGGATAACAAACAGATTCAACTTACTTCATAAAACTGGTTGATGAATCCTGGTGCCATCCACACATCATCTTCTTCATATAAATATGGATGCTGAGGATCACTATAGGGACCTCTCTCTTCTCTCACCACTACCAGGGAACAGCCAAAGTAGGTTNTACATACTTCCATCAGGCTTGTTAACAAACATCCGAGCCTTAGCAGCTGCAACTTCAGCTATACCTGCATGCATCTGAAATAAATACTGTAAATATTTTGTAGGTGTCGGCTAAAAAGCCAAGCTGCATATGCTTAGTCTTCAATTTACCGCCGAAATTTCTGCATCACATCCATAAGTATCCCTCACAAGTTCTCCAAAATAAAAACGACCCTGCATCAAAATGTGAAAAGAGATAAATTTGAACTCTATCACCAGGCCTAGATTCTCAAAGCCTCTAAAGATGTATGTGCATCAAAAACATGCAGTGAACAGAAGAAATGATGAGACTAAGAGAACACTGTCAGGCAGTGGTTTTGTGCAAGCGGGTTCAATCTTAGAAGTACATAACTTTAGTCATAAAATAGTAGTTGTCAACTGGGTTCAAATAAAATATTTATACAAATTTTACGCAGCTTTAATCGTAATTTATACATATGCACAATATTATTTTTTGATGAAGCGGGTTCAGTTGAGCCCACTTGCCACCACGTGCGTCCGCCACTGCTGTCAGGAAGTGACTCTTCCTTCCATAGCTTTGGATCTCATTTTGCCATGTTTTGCTTAAAACTATTGCTTCTGTTTAATTTTTAGGAGTAGTAACATATTAAGAAACTTCACATCAATGTGTGAAGACAATAAATCTATTATATTAATAGCCTGTTTGGCCAAGCTGCAAAAATCAGCTTATTTTGAGAAGTGCTTTTCTCAAAAGTAATTTTGGTGAGAAGCAGTTTGTGTTTGGCTAATTAGTTTGAAAAGCACTTCTGAGCAACAATTAGTGTTTGGCCAAGCTTTAAAAAACTGCTTCTAAGTGTATTTTTCTCAAAAAAGTGCTTTTGGAGAGAAGCTACTTTTTTCTGCTTCTCCAAAACTGCTTCTGCTTCTCCTCAAAAGCACTTTTTCCCTTCCAAAAGCTTGGCCAAACACCTCAATTTTTGGCCCAAAAAAAGCACTTTTGGCCAAAAAAAAAGCTTGGCCAAACAGGCTATAATAGTGGTAAAGCTTATGTCAGTTGTTTGATGTTTCCTGCACATAATCGGGGGTTATCCAAGAGCACTACTGACAATAGGGTTTCTAGAGTTCGTTCTTTTCTTTTCATATCTCAAGCAACCTATACTCATAACCTGCTCAGACAGATAGCCATACACAACCTTCTAAAAACCGAGAGAGAGAGAGAGAGCCCAGGTACAGCTTGTAAACTGTCTTCTTTGCCAGTTCCTTTTTCCCATATGTTGAAAGTTTTTTCTTTGATTCTTATCCACCGTTCTGGGTCTAAAGGGGAGCCTTGGCACAACGGTAAAAATTGTTGCCATGTGACCAGGAGGTCACGGGTTCAAGCCGCGGAAATAGCCTCTTGCAAAAATGCAAGGTAAGGCTGTGCACATCAAAGCCAATATGGTTTGGCCCTTCCATGGACCCGCGCGTAGCAGGAGCATACGGCACTGGCTGTCCTTTATTCTGGAATACACCTAACTTCCACCAGTAGGGCAAAGGATGGACAAATTTTGCAGTAAAAACTAGTGATAAATTCATCAACTCGTATCTTATTTGAAATACCGTCTTTATGCTTTTAAGTATTAAGTACATTCTCCTCATTTTAAAATCATAGGCCATGATTTGGCTGTAAGGTTGAAGATTATCTAGTGAGAATGAGAGTCATCTGCAATTTGTTAAATTTTCTTATTGGACAAATAATTTCTACACGAGATGAAGGTTTGATAGGCACTTACATAAATTGTGCGTTCATTAACTTCATATAAACCACAACCGTGCATTCTCCCATGCTTCCATTGGCCAGCATAGCGATATCGCCCCTTCTCCCTAACAGGAGAACATAACAAGAAGGTCGAGTTTAACATTTAAGTTCGTGCCTTTGGGTCAATTCCGCACTTACTCCCAGTTTATACATAGTAGAGATCACAGTAGATCAGCAAGTGAACAATGATAAAGTACATTTTGAGAAAGCAATTTTTTTTCTTGAGAAAGTGAACAATGATAAACTACTCCATTACTCAAATTAAAACAAATCCACATCTAACATACTGCAACTGAAAAAACATGATAACAAAAAGATCACCTTTACTGGAACTGAGGGGGAAAACATCAATAAGTTCAGCGACAAAGAAAAGGCAAGGCATGCCCATCAACTCTCAGTTTGGACGTAAAACTTACGGTTTCTTTCCAAATTGCCTGACCCATTCACCATTCTCATAGAATGGGATTTCATATTCTCCGCTTGTTAGCTCCATGGTATCTTCAATATCCTTCTCCAGCCATTCTCTGTCTTCTGGGGACATGAAGTCTCTCTTTATTATCTTGCCTTCGGCTCTCATCTTGGCTTCAAGCCTGCGAAACAATTAAACTACTTAATAAACTCTTAGAACATTAAAGCACACAATATCTCTTATGAGCAACATTTTGGAACGTAAACATACTTGGATCCTGGAACGGGTTCAATGTGGGGTATCTCAACCTCAACAACTCCATGACCTTCCATGTTGTTTTGAAGCCATTCACCTTCATACCTGCGAGAAGCAAACAGAAAAATGAGCGATGCTGACGCGAAGTTAAGGAAATCCTAACAAACAACGTGATATAAATTAGGCATAATTGTAGAGCGACAACTAGTAAAAATAATACCGACAAACCTGACCAGCCCTTGCTCAGCAACATAAACACCTTTTCCATGTGCCAAATCGTCCCAAACAGTGCCTTCATACCTTCGAATGCAAAAGGCCATCAGTTTTACAGATAACATCATCTAAGAACAAGAACAAAAAGGTAGAAAAGCTAAACCATGACCAAGTGGCAGCAAGTAATTGTCACATCAGCGTCGCTTAATGTTAATATAGCTTACGCACTGGAGTCTGGAGTAGTTAGACATAAGTCTAACATTAATTTGATAAGGGATACCAAGTTGGGGAAGCGGGAACCTAACAAGGACATTTTATTCCCTAACTGAAAAAGTGAAGCTGCAATTATGGCCATCAAATAGAATCTAGTTTATATGAAATGCCCACACGAATTGGCAAACATTTCCAAACAAAAAATTAGAAAATGTCAACCATGTAAGAGGCATGAAAACACAGAGTACAGGCAAAACCATGCAACGCTGCAGATTTGTTACTCATGTCAATTATTGACCTATTATATAATAATTGGAAATCAACTACTTCAATATGAGAAGTGCTTTACCAGTTTAAGGTACTTCTTACAGGGTAGCCATTAGAAAATGTTTTTCTAGTTCAATCAGGAGTATCATTTATTTCTGCTAATTAGAAACCAAGTTTCCATATTCCAGTTGTTCATATAGGAGCAATGGGCCTCATTGTGAAGACCTATTCCAGTTTAAGCCACATTCCAAAGCTTCACATCTGTAAACAACCTTTAACCGAGTACTTCATTAAAACAAAAAACAACCTTTAACTGAGTTTCTCATGTGGAGTTACCAGTCAGTTATATCTATAGCATCTCTAGTGTTCTAGAGTAGGAGAAAAACAAGAGGTATAATTGCCAGAGCTTAGGACAAACTCTTGCTTGTTAAGTCTTTGTTCACTCAAAAGTTTATACCAAATTGCTGAGTAGAGGTCTACTAACCTTACCAAATTTCAATCTATTAGCAATCTGAGAGCTACTGTTCCAGTTACATACTCAGATTTCTTGTGCATTTCTGAGTATTATATAAGGAAACATAGAAACAAGGAGATCTCGTTCCATAATCCATGCGTTCGTTGATCTAATTACATATTCCAAATGAATATACACATGCCACATGCCCACCCCTAAATTGAACCATCTCTGGTGAACCTTGAGGATTATGCAGCAAGTGTACTATATCTTCAACACCCGCAAATTTGAGCTTGACCATGATAGCATTAGATAGAAAGTATAGTACCATTTACAATATCATAGGAATAGAGAATTTCTTTAACATATTAGGACTAGTACTCAGGTTTTTTTAAAAGATAATTATCTATTAAAGATTTGAGGAAATAAAAATGCCAATTCATCCAACAACAAGCTCTATTTACTACAACTAGATGAAAAATCTCTTCCATCACAGATTGGAAGTCCAATTTCTCTATTCAAGATTTACTTCAAGATGATTAATTAGACACTACATTAAAGCAAGGAAATCACTAAGTCTAAATATATAGGATATGTTAACAATGTCAATAAAGTTTGACACTTGAGAAGGGAAGCCTTGCCGCAATGGTAAAACTTGTTGCCGTGTGACGAAGAGGTCACGGGTTCAAGCACGGAAATAACCTCTTGCATAAATGCAAGGTAAGGCTGCATGTGTAAGACTCAATTGGTCCGGCCCTTCCACGGCATAGCATAAGCTTAGTGCGTCGAGACTTGAAAAATCATAGCACACAACTAATTTTAGCTTGGGAAAAGAACTCCTCCACATTAACACAGAGAATCAATGACACATTCCACTATTCAACTCCAATGCTTATGAAAATAAGAAGTAACTCTAGCAGCTAAAACCATATAGCCAATCATATACCTTTCTTTCTTTTTTAAATGACGGTTGTGTAACTGGGCCAGCTTGCGCACACATCGACTACTCCACACCAGTTACCTGCTACCTCACACCAGCACAGGTACCGGGTAGCTGTGCTCAAAGTTCACCCTTTGGTTGTGGGGGGGGGGGGGGGGGGGCGAGAAGGGGGAACATTCTTTACCTCAATTGTAAAGCAAACACACACCCTTATACCCAGTATTCAAGTCCAATGCCTATGAAAATGAAAACTAACACTAGCAGCTAAAAACCATATACCCAATCATATTCACATTCAAAGTTCAAAAACAAAAACAAAAACAAAAAACAATCTTTACCTCAATTATAAAGCAAATAAAAACCCATTAAGCAAGATCTCTCCAAAAAAAGAAAGTGAGCAAAAAAGAGACTCACGAGCTACCATCAGCAAAAATGTAGCTAACCCATTTCAAGAACTCTTCAATCCTATCAAGCTCTTCAATCACAGATTTCGGGTTCGAAATATCATAGTTATTATCCGGCACCACAGGGAACGGTTTCCTATAAGGAACATAAAACGGGGCAATAGGAGGGTCCCGACCCGCTCTAGTTTCTTCACTAATAATATCCTCTTCTTCTTCATCAACCCAATTCGGGTCCCAACCGGGTTTAGTCATTTCAATCGGAGCATCCCCCCAAAGCTCCTTTAAATCCTCTTCCCTCCAATTTTCAGGGTCGTACGGAAAGTCAAACAAGTCCTCGTGATAAGTGTATTCTTCTGCTTCCTCTTCTAGCTCACGCTTTCTGCGTTTGGAGTTGAGGACTCGCATGAAACGCTTCACATTTGCTTCGGGTGTGTTGTTTTCTTCGTCGTCTGTGTCGGGTTCGCCCCCGGCCCGGGTGTATGGTAGGAGCCCCGTTTCGGACTCCGAGTCCGAGTCTGAGTCTGAGGAAGTGGGTTCATCGAGTTCTACTTCTTCTTCTTCTTCTTCTTCATCGTTCTCCTCTTCTGGATTGGGAGAACTGTTTAAGTTGGTTTCGTCTGGGTCCGCCATTGGAGAGTGTTGTTCGTACGAGTAAAGAGTAAAGAGAGTGGGGAGTAGAGGAGAAGAGGATGAAGAAGATAAGGTGTGTGTGAAAGTTGCTTGTTTATATAGGGGGACAACGATGGGAACGATGTGAAGCAAAGAATGGTTGTACGTGCGGTATTAAGTGTTGTACATAGTGAAGTGAGGGCGATTTTCCGAGTATGGCCAACACTGCAGGCCGCTTCTCCTTTTACTTGTGTTTTATCCTCCGTAAAAGGTGAAAAATATAGTTTTTGTGTTAAGATTAAGGTCTCTAATAGACTAATACTGCTTTCATTGTAATTTATTTGATACTTTTGGCTTGTCGAAAATTAAATTAGGAATTTTAACTAATATTTTAAATTATTATTTATCAATCGACATGAGAAGAATTAAAATTGTAATGTCTTTTATATAATTTGTGAATAATTAAATTTAAATTTTAAAATATTAAGTTGATCTAATTCATTTAACTTTAAATATTAATCAAATTGACTTTTGAAAAGACAAAATTATCTCATAAATAACAACGGAGGTAGTAGTAATGGTCACTACTCATAATATGTAATAGTGATAATATTGATATCCAATGCTTTAGGAAGTGAAAATAATTTTATTGTTACCAAATGAAAAATAAAAAACAAAACACTTGTGTTAAAGTTAACTAGTTAAGGCCTGTAATTATATACTTAGAGGTGGAGCCACGTAGAAGGAAGGAAATTCAATTAGGTTCCCTCGAAAGTTATACTGCGTAAATAAAATACAAGTAAAGATTTTATTATAGTTACTTTCATACTAATGTAACTATGGGTGGCAAACGGGCGGGTGAATCCGATATGGAAGGGTCGAAAAGGGATAATGAAAAAATAAATAAAATATTCGACTCGGTCCGTATTTAATATGGATATAAAATGGTTTAACCGGCAGATAATATGGATATCTATATTATCCATAGCTTCTTGAATATGATCATTTTTGAAAGAATTTCTAGTCTCATAAACTTGCAGATCAATTTGATTCTTTGCAAATGTAAAATTTAAACCCAATGGTTATCTATTTTTTAATGGATAATATGAATCTTATTCATAAATGACTATTTCTAAAAATGTTATTATCTGTAACGACCTGACCGATCATTTTGAGCATTTGCACTTCGCTCGCCAGTTCTTGGGCATAACTAGCCCCGTATGATGTGTTATGATTTATGTAAATCGTCGGTTTTGGTTTTCAGGATAATCAGAATAGATTTGGAAGAATAATTCTCAACTTGAAGCTTTAAATTTGAAAGATTTGACCAAGTTTTGACTTTTTAGTATTCGATCTCGGATTTAGATTTTTATAATTTGGTTAGCTCCGTTAGGTAATTTTGGACTTGGAAGCGCATCCGGGATGTGATTTGGAGGTCCGTGGTAGAATTAGGCTTGAATTGGCGAAATTGAAAATTTGGTGTTTCTCGGTCAGTAGTGGAAATTTTGATATCAGGATCGGAATGGAATTCCGGAAGTTGGAATAGGTTTGTAGTTTCATTTGTGACTTGTGTGCAAAATTTGAAGTCAATCGGACTTGATTTGATAGGATTCGGCATTGAATATAGAAGTTGGAAGTTCTTAGTTTCATTAAGCTTGAATTTGGGGTGTGATTCACGATTTTAGCATTGTTTGATGTAATTTGAGGCATCGACTAAGTTTGTGTCATATTATGGGACTTGTTAGTAACTTGGTTGGGGTCCCATGAGGCTCAGATAAGTTTTGGAAGAGGTTTTGGAAGATTTTGACGTTTTGAGCATAAGCATGTAATGATCTAAATGTCCATTTTTAGTTCTAGAGATCGAAATTTGATTTCGATACTTTCGGGATTTTGATAATGAATTATATGAGTTATCTGAAAAGTTTGAACTAATTTCATCAAGTTGCGGTTGGGTTTTTAACGTGAAACATGAGTTAATTATTTATCGAGCGAAATGGACATCGCACTGAGTAAATGAGCTCCGAATTGAGTTTCGATTGAAGGACTATATTCGTATTATTATTTGTGACTCATAGGAATAAGAATCATCAAATTCCGAGTTCGTACGATGGATTTAAAGCCTTTTTAGTGAAATTAAAGATTGCTGGTACAACAGATCTGGTGTGCACCTTTAGCAACCAGATTTGACACTTTTAGCGACGGGAATTGGCTTTTAGAGAACAGAATCGGGTTTTTAATGTTGCTATGTTTTTTTAGCTTATTTTGACGTTTTTTGGGTGAAAGAACACGGCTTGGGGCGATTTTTGAGCAAGACATCATGGGAAATCTTGAGGTAAGTCACTTGTGATCATTTCTACTCTATAATATTGAATTATCATCGAATAATCTGACTAGATTACATGTTTTTAAGGTGTAAATTGGGATTTGGACCTAGGGATTTGAAAATAAGATTTGAAAATTTGGAGGCCGAATTGTTATCGGAATTTAGTAATTTTGGTATGGTTGGACTCGTGGTTGAATGGGTTGTCGAATTTTGTTAGTTTCGTCGGATTCCGAGACGTGGGCCCCACAGGCGATTTTGAGTTAGATTTCGGGTTTTGTTGGAAAATTAGTATTTTCATATGGAATTAATTCCTATAATTAGTATTGACTGAATTGAATTAACTGTGGCTAGATTCGGGTCGATTGGAGGCCGATTCGAGGGGTAAAGGCATTTCGGAGTAGAATTTTGCTCGAATTGAGGTAAGTAATGATTGTAAATCTAGTCTTGCGGGTATGAAACCCCGGATTTCACATTGTTTTACTATTTTGAGGTGACGCACATGCTAGGTGACGGGCGTGTGGGCGTGCACCGTTAGAGATTTTGACTTGATCCGTCCCGTACCAACTATAAAGTTGCATATTTGACTTAAATTATATGATACTTATGTGTTTTAGAAAGAATTTCCTATAAATTGGGCTAAATGCCATATTTGGGCCTTGTGCCAGAGCTGTTTGGAACCTTAGGGCCTTTTCTTATTATCCTCTCACTGTTTTTGATTTAAGATCTATATTCAGTCATGCCGTGTTTACTGATTTCATAACTCAGTCTTTATTACTCCGTTTTGATGCATAAAATGATATTTTGGGCTGAACACCCTATTTTACTGATAGCCCGAGTGGTTTGAGAGGTTTCTGACTGAATGAGGCCGAGGGCCTGTGCTGTGAGAATATTATGGGATCGGGCTACACGCCGCATCATGTTGTTATTGATTCATAATTTTTGAGAGGTAGTGGGCCTGATTGATTATGCCATGAGGTGCTTGTTATAGTGCTTGGGCTGTAAGAGTCCCTCAAGAGTCTGTACACTCCCAGTGAATGCGGGTACCCTGAGTGAGTGATATGATATTTTACCCGAGGGGCTGTTCTTAATTCATGTTGTGCCCGATGGGTTGTTTATGAGCGATTGTGAGGTAATGCCCGAGGGGCTGTATATGAGTGACTGTGAGATTTGCCCGAAGGGCTGTATATAATTCATGTTTGCCCCAGGGGCTATTCACGAGTGATGTTCGCCGAGGGGCTGTTCTTGATTTATGTTGCCCGAGGGGCTGTATACGAGTGAGTTTTGCCCGATGGGTTGTTTATGTTTTCATCATTTTAACTCACTGTTTCATCACTTTGTTGAAAACTGTTGAAAGATGTTTTAAATGGTTTTACTGAAACTGGATTCAAATGAGCTGAGTTGATTCAAAAACCCTAATTTTAAAAGCCTGCTGTATTTTATTGAGATTTCATGATATAAACTGTATATGTTTTATTGCTCAGTCTCTATTTACTTTTATTACTTACTGAGTTGGCGTACTCACATTACTTCCTACACCTTGTGTGTAGATCCAGATATTTTTAAACCCAGTAGCGGGTGTTGATTACTTAGTGGGAGGCCCATCAGAGTTAGTAAGGTAACTGCCTAGCGATCGCAGCCCTGCTTTTCTCCCTCCTTATCCTCCCTTAGTTGTATTCAGTTATTTCCAAGTTATGTTAGTCTTGATGTTGTCAGACGCTTGTAGTAGATGCTCATGACTAGTGACACCCCGATGTCGGGCTTTCTTTTCGCTCTTTTGTTTTGATTTAAACTCCTTACATGTTGTTAAATAGCTTTGGTTTTGTCTTGAAAATGAAAATATTGATTGGTTTTGGCAGTGTGTCGGCTTGCCTAGTACCACATTAGGTGCCATCACAACAGAGTTAGTTTTGGATCGTGACATTATCCAACCTATTTTTAATGGATAATATGGGTGAATAACTGTCTTTTTTCTATTTCACCACCACTAAATGTAACTGTATAGGTGTGTGATAGTGTTGGTATATATGTAATGCACTAGAGACACTCTACGTATAATGATGTAGATAGCCATATGTTCAAGTGGGTATTTGAAGGAAGACGACTTATAAGTTTTTGAGCAAAGTTCATTTGTAACTACTAGGGCCAAACTTATATCACCTGATAGCCACAAAATAACCTCATATAAGTCATAGTCTAAAAACAATAATAAAGGCTAGCAACTGAAAATGCTAAAACCATACGCTCAACGCAAACGAAAAGGAAATCACTCATAATCGATTTTGTATCCTAAATTCACGCGTTCAGTATGGGATCTTCAACCTCCAAACACTATAAAAGTTGCCCAATTATTCAAATTGTCAAAAATTCTAAGGTTTTTGAAGATTAAACCCAGAGAAGAGCTCCAAAAAATTCACGTTGAAATTCAAAGTTTTTGCACAATTGCGGCTTACAACCAGCTTAATAGAGTTGAGATTTCGTTTTTAAATTGTGAAATTGATACAAAATCGACAAACTCAACTAATGTCTATGGAGATTGTGAATGTTGGAACTATTGTTCCAATTTTGATTCCTATTTTACTTCAATACAGTGGTGAATGGGTAAGTGAGAGTAAATTTGTTAATTTCCTTGTTAATGGCGTGCTGATCAATTCGGACTGTAGCTATGAGTATTTTGTTGATGAGATATACAAGCAATTGGGTAGAGATTCAATTACAAGTGCGATGGAGATAAAATATATAGTGAATGATGGCTATATAGCAATTCCAATATACAATACTATGAGTGTGCACTTG